GAATTGGGCTTTTAATCAATATGTTCATGCTGGCCAAGTTTCTCGGGGTGGTGTAGCTTTGAACTTCTTGGCTCTTGTGTGTTTAAGTCCCAGCTGTAACTCTGTATTCTGGCATGTTCCTCACATAATTTCCTGGTTTTGTTATTTTGTAAGCGTACTGGTTTATTTGACTCTGCTGAACAACTGCTATTTGAATGTATGATCATTCAGGTTCATGTAAGAGTGGTGCTCCCTGTATATTGGCCAAAATTGGGGGGGGAGGGGGCAGTGTCTGACGAGAAGTGAATTTAGTGTTAGGGAAAGATGCCAGACAGTGCTAGAGACCAAACTCTTTTCCCATAGAGCAGGCATCAGCAAGGCAAGCTTTTCTCTCTCTGCTCTGTCCACATGCTTCACTGCTTTCTGCTTTTAGGGGTGAGAGAGAGAGAAAGTTCGGTCTTCATGGTCCATTCAGTCCCCGGCCCCTCTGCTGAGTCAGCCTGCAAGGGGCCCAATTAGCACCAGTTGAGATGCTAGTTGATGTGAAGTGAAGAGCTCACTAAGAACTGGACTACAGCCACCAACTCATTTTGTATAAGCCACTGAACAGCCATTCAGCAATGTTCAGTTGCTACCAACCTGGGCCCTAGAGGCAGAATGATCCATAGCCCACTATCGTATCTGATTTATTTAAAGCTAGCAAAACGTACGAATAGTAACAGAATACTGAAAACAGAATATTTGGCCTGTGTTATACGGGAGGTTGGAGTAGATGATCACAGTGGTCCCTTCTGGTATTATAACCTATGAATGTACCATTCCTTTAAGATGTCATCAGAAGGGGGTTTGGCATCTGGCTCCTGTGCTCTCTGTAGAGTGTGCACCAGGGGTGCTAGGCTCCAGTGCAGATAGAGTTGGAATTGAATGTGCAAGTTAATAATCATGTTTGGATCAATTTGGGGAGGGACCAGAGAAGCCAAGGTTAAGATGACCAAGCCTAATATAACTGTATTAAATTGTTTGCTCTGTTTCCCAGTGCAGAGCTCCGGGTATGTTCTCTACTCCCTGGCCAAAAAAAGTTTTGGATGTATCCTGCCCTGTTCTGCATCACTGACTGCTTTCCCTTCCTTGACAAAACTCTTGTGTCAGTCCACTTGGAATCTGTAAAATGGGGTAATGATATTTGCCCACCTTTGTAAAGCACTTTGAGATCTATGGATGAAAAGCATATACAAAGGGCTAGGAATTTTTTATCACTTCTGCTACTAATACATTTCATTTGTGTAGAATGCACAAGTGTAAGTCATCCAAAGTTCATTGTAAGTTATCTGTGCCATTCATTGTCTGAGGGAGTGATTTTTAAAAGAAATGTCCTGTAATTAAATGTGTGCATATGTATATAAAGGAGTTACCAATACAAGATTGTGGGGCCCTACGTGTGCCACATTTGTTCTTATTTTTTTTAAAAGTCAGTTTTCATTAAACAGAGAAATCCTCTATCCCCCCTTTTTTGCTTCAATTCTTTAAAAATAAATTGTTACCAAAAAGCCCTTGAGAACTGTGAGTCTCTGTTTCACTGCTGTATGTCTGCTCACATTATAGTGCGATGGCAGCAAACAACACTAGAGTTTAAGCTTACATAAGTTTCCATCCTAACACTCTGTTTTCAGTGGCACACAGCTTTCTTAAAAATCCACTGTTCAGTCTGGAATCTTCTAGGTCTGGTCTCTGCCAAAAGGTGGATTGATTTAGAAAGTTCGAGCAGAAAGGCTTTGACTGGTGTTGCATAAGAGGAGAGAGGAGGAAAATAAACCCACTTCTCCCATAGTGTAAAAAAGAAAAGCTTTTTTGGGTAAAAATCTTAAAAGCACCTCAGCCCCTTTTTCAAAAGTGATTTAGGCACGTAGTGTCTGTGCAGGTTGGTTTAAACCTGGCTTATACTGATTTAGTTTGTAAGACATGTAAGAATGTCCACTCACAAGTTGCACTTGTTTAACTAAACCAGTTTAAAATCACAGCTTTAGTTAAACTGGGACAACTTTTGTGTGTAAACCAGCCTCAGTTTGCTTTGCAGTTAAGCCTTTCATCCTCTGGATTGCAGCTATGGGAGGCCATGCTGTTTGAAGAGACAATGGGTGCTGACTAACTGCTTAAAATACATATCTTAGAGAGAGGAGCACTTACATTATCAATCTGTCAACAGAAATATAGTGGGCCATTATAGCAATGAAACAAGTTTAAGTACAGTGTAAAAGAATGAAAAAACGTGTGCTCTACTAGGGTGCATGTAAGATTATAGACGAATGGTGTTTCTAATGTATTATTTGAGAGATAGTAAGTGATCATGTCCTTACAGATTCTGTCATTGTTCTTCCTGCATATACACATGGGGCAGAGTGAAGGTTGTGTGTATAACATTAACTTTTGCATTTCCAGACCTTTGAGTGCTTAACCACACCACCTTATATTTTCTCCTTAATAAAGCTTTTATATCAAATAATAAGCTGATTAAAAACCTGATATTCATAATGGGAACTGTAACTGACTCTATAATTGTTCTGCCACTTGTGCTCTTGTGATGAAAATAGAGGTCTCATGGGTGCTGTTTGGATGAATAGAAGCTAATGTCATGCAGGCTCTTGTAAAAGATCTTTTCTCATCTGCTCAGTCTAAGTGGCAGGAGTCTTGATCTGCTTGGGCCACTTCAGTAAATTCCTCATTTAATAAGAAGTCTTCTAGGGAAGTGTAACACTTTCCCTGGCCCTGCATATAGCTTTGCAGAGCAGTGCAGACAGTGATAACGTGCTCAGCCCTTCCCCTAGTGGTGGTTTCCAGCTGAAGGAGTCTTTGCATTGAATAGGATCTCCTCTGTAAATCCCTGCCTGGAGGGTATGTCTGGGCTGCGATTAGACACTCACTTAGCCTGTGTCTGCACTGCCACTTTCAGGGCTAAAACTTTAGTCATTCAGGTGTGCGAAAAAACACCCCCCTGAGCGACAACAGTTTTCTTGCTGAAAAGCGCCAGTATAGCCAGTGCGTTATCGCCGGGAGCTGCACTCCTGGCGATAAAGCTCTCACCCCTCATTCGGGGGGTGGTTTTTTTATCACCAGGAGAGCTCTCCCCCGGCGCTAAAGCGTGGTTACACTGCCCACGTCGCGGCCATGCTGTAACGTGGGCAGTGTAGACATACCCTTAGACTCTCACGCTTGGCCCTTGCCAGCTGACTTGGGCTCGCGTGGCTCTGGCTAAGGGGCTGTTAACTGCCGTATAGACATTCGAACTGCAGTCCTACCGTGCAGGGTCTGAGACCCTGGGCTCCAGCTCAAGCCCGAACATCAGCAGTGCAGTTAAACAGCCCCTTAGCCCCAGCTCCGTGAGCCTGAGTCAGCTGGCATGGGCCAGCCGCAGGTTTTTAATTGCAGTGTAGACAGACCCTAAGCTACGAACTCACTGTCCAGGACAGGTGATTTATTGCTGACCAGTCCACTAATCAGCTACTAGAAACTGTATGATTCCTGCCCAGATCTGTTTGGTTTTTTAAGAGGAAAAAGAGCCCCGGCTAAGAGGGTGTCAAGGTTCCTTCCCCACTCTGAACTTTAGGGTACAGATGTGGGGGACCTGCATTGGAAGCTCTACGCTCAATTAACAGCTTAGATCTGGTCTGGCTGCCACCACTCCCAAGCACTAATTCCCTTCTCTGGGTAGCCTTGAGAGACTTCACCAATTTCCTGGTGAACACAGATCCAAACCCCTTGGATCTTAAAACAAGGAGAAATTAACCATCCCCCCTCCTTTCTCCCACCAACTCCTGGTGGATCCAGATCCAACCCCTTGGATCTAAAAACAAGGAAAAATCAATCAGGTTATTAAAAAAAACTTTTAATTAAAGAAGAGAAAGGTAAAAGAAATCCCTCTGGGAGAGATTAGCATACCAGCTACTCTCACAGACAACAGATTCCAAACACAGAGGATGTTCCCCTGGGCAAAAACTTACACAAAAAATACCCAAACACCCAATTTGATTATTCCTCTAATTGCACAAGACAAGTTACAAAGAAATAAACATAAACCTATTTATTCCCTTCACTAATACTCACTACTTGATAAGGGGCTGAATTCTGGAGCTTTCCCACTCTGGTCAAAAGTGAAACTCTGACAAAGGCCTGGTCTACACTAGGACTTTAATTCGGATTTAGCTGCCTTAATCCGAATTAACCCTTCACCCGTCCACACTACAGAGCCAGTTAATTCGAATTAAAGGGCCCTTTAAATCGATTTCTGTACTCCACCTCGACGAACGGAGTAGAGCCTAAATCGATTTTGTTAATTCGAATTAGGGTTAGTGTGGACGCACACCACCGAATTACTGTGGTTTAAAACCGAATTAAGGTGCTTAGTATGGCCGCGCACAATCGAATTTATACAACCTGTTTCCCAAATTCGAATTATCTAAATTCGGATTAATCCTGTAGTGTAGACATACCCTTAGACAAAGGAAACTTCCCTCCTTCCCTTTGAACCAGCTTGTCCTCCCATTGGTTCCTCTGGTCAGGTGTCAGCTAGGCTAGGTGAACTTCTTAACCCTTTACAGGTAAAAGAGACATTAACCCTTAACTATCTGTTTATGAGGGGGGGGGGGGTGATTGAGATCTCATCCTTCAGTGACTTGTTCTTAATTCCAAGACTGAGCAGTGTGTTTAATGTATGGCCTGAAGGAGCAATTCGCTAGGAAACTCTGCTTTCTCCTCTGGCAGCTTACATCATCATGCAGCCTATGGGTTTGTGAGATCAGTGAGAAAAGCAGCTTGTACCCAACACAGTGCTAACACCTCCCCCCTCCAGCCTGGAAATCCAGGACTTGGGCGGTGCAGAGGACAGGCCAATTCAAGCCAGTTCTTCTTGTCTCGGGTATAGATCTGGCAATAATGGTGTAAGGAGCCCTGGGTTGCTGTTTTCCTGAGCTTTTTGCTGTTTTCTAGGGTCCCATTTTAATCCCCTTTCCCCCCCTCTTTACAGGTCACTTCACCTGGGATAAATACCTGAAAGAAACATGTGCCATCCCAGCTCCTGCCCATTGCTTCAAGCAGGTAATTTGTTGGGTGGCGTCTCGGGTGCAGGGGGCGAGGGTCTGTTTGTGATCCTAGAGCTCCAATTCAGGACAAGCCTTCGAATAGGCTCTGGCCCTTTAATCCAAGAGGGAGGAGCAGCAGGGAAAGCAGACCCTTGGCAGGACTGTGCCTGGTTAAGCAAAGATAAAAGAGATAACGTTCATGGCTTGTATAAATGTATAGAATAACCCAGGGGACTTAACTCTCAGATGGGGATGGGTGGGAACATCAAAGCTCTGTGTCTCTGCTGAGCTCAGGTGCTGGAGGGAAGTGTATATAAGCTGGATCATTGCTTAGTGTAGTTATGATTTAGATTTCACTGGATGCATGCCAGTAAAGGGAGTTTCTTGAACAGCTTCCCTTCTGCAAAATTCCCTGGATCTCGATAAGCTGTTTCACTGTCTCCTGGGCTGTAGTATCCAGTATCTGGCTATGTTGCCTGGCTTGCGGGCTGCCAAAATCATCGGTCAAGTTGATGAGATGGCCCAGGACAGAGCTAGCAGGAGGGGGTGGGTCAAGATGCGTCAGCCGAACTGTCTGTGGAGTTCCAAGATAAGCCTGTGCTACAGCTGGGGCAGGCTAGTGCTTGGAGCTCCTCACTTACCCACTCCCAAATGTATTTGTTTTATTGTGTTTCAAAAGCAAAAGACAGTCTGTGTGTGTTTGGGGGCTGTTAAATAGCCCCTTGTGTGTTATGCTGGTGGGTGTCTCAGATGGGGCAAGGCCCCAGAAAAGGAGCTGGCTCAAGGTGAAACTTGTGGCGAAAGGCGATAGATTGTGGGTGGCTGGGTGCCAGGGCCTTCGTTCACTGAGCTCTCCTTGCTGCTCTCTGTGGCACCTGTTTCAGCATTGGCATGGAGGGCACTGTCCATCCTCAGCTGCCATGAGTAGTGGGTCTTGGGGCTGGGGTTCTGGGAAGGAAATGGGGCATATGTGAAGTCCTGGCTCTTGTTCTCTGCAGTCGTACACTCCGCCTAGCAATGAATTCAAGATCAGCATGAAACTAGAAGCCCAGGACCCCAGAAACACCACCTCCACTTGCATCGCCACTGTGGTGGGTCTGACAGGCGCACGGCTGCGCCTGCGTCTCGATGGCAGTGACAACAAGAATGACTTCTGGCGGCTGGTGGACTCTGCTGAAATCCAGCCCATAGGGAACTGCGAGAAGAATGGAGGGATGCTGCAGCCGCCTCTGGGTGAGCCTGAAATCCTGTCATCCGACCAATGGAAAACAGCCACAAGCTGTGGGGGGATACCTAGTACCCTTTCTGCTTTCCCTGCTCAGTACAGGAAGGCATGGACTGTACTCGCCTACCAGGGCTTGTTTCACTATGTATACTTACCAAGGGGCTGTCACTAACCTGACTTCCCTCCACGCACAAAACAGACAGGTTCTCCCACAATGCACTGGGAATCAGAGTGGCTCAGCTTACTGAGGTGCTAAGAACCATGGGATATGACCAGAAGTCCTAGCACCTCCCACAGGTGAGTGGAGTACCAGTGTGGACTCACTGACTCTTGTGTGGCTTTGCAGTGTGGCTGCTCACACCTGGGCAACGCCAGCCCGGAGGCTTAGCCCCATGGTCAGACCACGTGAGTGAATCTACTGTGCAGACACCCTCAGTCCCACCACACAGCTCTAGGCTGGCCTGACCATGGGCCACTGCTTGTGACTTTGGGCCACCACCTGTGTTCCCTGTAAGCTGCGCGCTTAGGCGGCTGCGCAGGAGAGATTCAAATGCCGCCAGCTGATTAGAGAGCATGCACAGCTGGCAGCGTGTGTTCAGGTGCCCTCCCCCCGGGACTCTCCTGCTGGCTGTGCAGAGCAGGGCTGGAGGGGAGGAGCGTGCTAATGTCAGGGTGTCCCCCTGCCCCGGTACCCCAGCTCCACAGAGCAGGGCAGAGGGGACAGCCTGGCTCAGGAGGACTCAGAGCGTCTGAGGTCTGAATGGTGAGTGGTTGAGTGCCTTTCTTAAAGAGACAGTGCACTGTTTCTGAGATTTCCCCAGCAACCAGCTCACACAGTTTCTTCCCCCCCCCCCCCCAGTACCCCATCTCTGGGGTGGGGAGACAACAGGGCTCAGGACAGAGCAGGAGAGCTTTCCATGAATGTCTTAAAGAGACAACGCACACAAACACACACTCTCACACTGTGTGTCTCACTCACCTCCCAACACATACTTGCATTAATGTTGTTACTTCTTGGTTCTTCCTGCAATGCACATATATTCTCTGTAATTTTATTCTTTCAAAGTGTGTTATTTTAGTGTTTTGACTGGTCAATGCATTTCATAATTTTTATTTCTCTCTTGCACTTAAGTTTAATTCAGTGAGTAGTGAGTTCTAAAATGCCTTAACTTGTCCTGGCTGGAGTAATTAATTATTCCTATGGTAACTTTTAAAATATATATATTATATCTAGTTTTTTTGTTTCTACTGATGGCGCACATCCACACATACCTTGGTGCACATAACAAAATGTATTCCACACCTGGATGGAAAAAATTTAGAGGGAACATTGGTGCGAGTGGTGGCCAATCTAACTTGAAAGTTACCTACTATTAAAAATCTGTGAAACACAATATACTCTTTTCACGCCATCAGCCCTTCTCTCTCAGGGCTTGTCTACATTACCCGCTGGATCAGTGGGCAGCGATCGATCCAGCAGGGGTCAATACGCAATAAATCGACCGCTGAGCGCTCTCCCATTGACTCCGGTACTCCACCAGGGCAAGAGGCGCAGGCAGAGTCGACGGGAGAGCGTCAGCCGTCAACTTACCGCAGTGAAGACACCTCTGAAGTCACATAGCTGCAGTTGCGTAACTTAGATCGAGTCCCACCCCCTAGTATAGACCAGGCCTCACTTCCATCGTGCTCAGAGCATGGTCATGAGCCATAGGATGGAGGGTGCCTTATTGGACCCTTTCAAGTGTAATGTAGAGAAGAACCAAGGAGAAGTTTGAGAGTCCAGCTCAGTAATTGCCCCTCAACCCACAGCACTTTCCATTTACTTTCCGGCCATCCAGGCATACTTGGGCCCATGTACTAATGGCCAGCACAGAGAATTGGGTATCAAGTGTAGACACTGGCTGGAGCACCAGCTGGATGGGTTTAAATTATTCCACTCCTCTTAATTAGGGCTCCCTGCTGGGCAGCAGACTAACTGAGGCCATTTAAAGGAAAAAAATACATCTGCTTCAAATAACTCTCAGTCCTGCCTTGAATGAAAGGGACAGACACAGCATTTCATCGTTGTTTTTTTTAAACTTTATTGGGCTACAGTTTTATAAATGGCCCTTTCTTATCTCTCAGTTAAACACCACTTCACTCCTTAGCAGTGCCCAAATGGGTCTCCAGTGAGCTAAACTGATGTTGACTCTGTCCCAGTTCACATGAATGGCAGCTGCCAGGTCTCAATGAGATGTTCCTATAAAGAACCCATCCAGTTAGCACGTCCCTGTAGAAGTGTACCAGGCTGAATGGTGGTGGAAGATGAAGGACTTGCATATGAGACTGTGCAGTGGAGACCATTTCCCCTAAAGTGCCCTCTGGAGGGTCAGGTGGACATACTGTGTAGGCTGCCAGCTAGCCGTGACTTGGGAATGGGGAGCAAAAGAAGAGGGATCTTGGCAGGGAAGGGAGTGGTGTGGGATGGAAGCCACACACCTTACCACGTGAGGGTATGAGAGTCCTAGATCACTGCCAGCACAGGGCGCCGTGATTGTGGGTTCCCCAGACCACACTGATGTGTGTCTGCTGAGGATCTGGCCCTATGAGTCCCTAACCCAGTTCAGTGCAGAAGACACTGGCATGAGAAATCTGTCTTTGATCATAGCCACTCACTTCACTCAGCTGAGGCAAAAACCCTGTATGGAGTTACTTCCTGCACATCTCTGTCAGAATGAACCAGCTTTGGAGAGCCTAGTCTGTGAGAAATAAGGTTCCTTTGGCTGTTGAAGTGGTCCCAAACTGGAGCTTTGGAGCATACAGTGTAGAGGCCCAGGTCTGGCTTATTGGCTGGACCCCATGAGTCTTGTTGCCTTGTCATTTCCAATGGGTCATAGCAACTAAGACCTGCCTGCAGAGATGGGGACTCGGAGGGTGAGGTTGAGAGGCAGTTCACTTCCTCCAAATGCTACATAACAAATTGGAGTCTGGCCTCTATGGATCTTCCTGCCATGAGCAAGCTGATCATTTCTGATGCATTGTACCTCTCCCACTAACAGGCGAGTCAGATCTGCTATGTCTGTCAACGTTTGATTGAGCCTCATTTTTAATAAATGAAGTACCAGCATTGTGCCCATAAAATCTGCTGTTGCCTACCCACAGTAGGCAGCCCGAGATAAGATGCCACTCAATAGGGGCAGCTGTATCTTGTGCGTGTGCAGTTACCTGGACATGCCCACATGCATATTTTGCATATAAAGCCCAAGGGTCTGTTTTGGGCCTGACAGAGGTGTTTGTGCTATTCCTCGGTCTGCCACCAGAGGGCAATAAGAGTAATCATGTTACAGACTTCCAGCTCATCTCATGTGGCTCTGTAGGTGGTAGGTAGTTTGAACTGGATGTGGAGCATCTATCATGCTGGGTCCTGATGGGACAGTCCGTGTCACTGACCTGGTTACCCTTGTGATCTGTCGTAGAGGCAGGGTTGGGGACAAGAGGTGGCAGATAGTCAGCCCCTTATCTGCTGATCTCTCATAGCCCAAGTACAGGTAACAAACCACACTCCTGAGCTGCTGGCCCTCTGCTCCCTCTTCACAGAGCACCAAAGCCTGGCATGTGTATGTGGCACTAAATGCCGAGTCTCTCACTTGGTGTCTTTCATGCCTACTGAAGCTCCATTGTTCAGCTGTTGTTTCTTGGTAGCATGAATAGAAGCGGCTGCTTGCTGGTGAACTTGAGGCTGGGGGGAGGTTCTCCCCTTTCCCAAGCTTACCTGACCAGCTGGTTTTCATGCCCTGTTTCCCGGGTTCCAGGACAGAACTGCGTAGATCAGCGGTTTTCAAACTCTGGGTCCGGACCCCAAAGTGGATCGTGATCCCATTTTAATGGGGTCGTCAGGGCTAACATTAGATTTGCTGGGGCCCAAAGCCCGAGCCCCACTGCCGGGGGCCAAAGAGCAAGGACTTCGACCTGAGGAGGCAGGGCTTGGGCTTTGGCTTTGACCCCTCCTTTCTCCCAGTGGGCGGCAGGGCTCGGGTGGGCTCAGGCTTTGGTCTCCTGGGGCTGTGTAGTAATTTTTTTGGTCAGACGGGGGGTCACGATGCAATGAAGTTTGAGAACCCCAGCGTAGATAAAACGCCAGCTTTGACTTAGCTCGTTGGGACATCTCTGGCACTCAGGCCCTGTCTACAATGGCAAAACTTCCCCCTGTGGTCATCACCGCTGCAGTTCCCAGGGAACTATCCGTGGAAATCCAGCCCCAGGGTTATCTCTGAAATGCTGTAAGGATGTAAAGGGCAGCCCCTTGCTAAGCATCAGAAATTGACCCTTTGGCGCTGAGGTGCCAGGCTGTCAAGCCAAGGCACTGGCACTGGACTCCTCTTGTGAGCATGCTTTCAGGGTCTGCACTTCCTGTGGCTGCCAGCCCCCCCCCCCCCCCCGGGGCTTCCCACTTTGCATTGGTGGAATGCCCATGGTAATGGGCTAGCAGAGGAGTGCTCCCTCACACCATATCCTAGCACAATTTCTGTAACCTCCATTTTCTCTCTTCTCCTTTGTTCTTTTATTCCTTTTTGTCTTTTTTTCTGTACTCTCCAAATAGGACTGAGAGCCTGGCGTTTCTGGGATCAATAATGTCAACCATTAAAAAGAACAAGCCTCGTAGTTCCCCTTCCTTTCCCCCTTGTGGTGCTGGCACGTGTGGGGTGGGAAGCATTGGCTGCTGGCATTGCTGTTCAGACATGATGCATTTTCATACTTGCTAATAGTTTAGCTTCTCAGGTACAGACCCCTGTAATGAGGAACTCATCAGTACAGGCGCCGACTTTCAATGTGCTGGGGGGGTGCTCGACCCCTGGCTTTGCCCCAGGCCCCACCCCACTCTACCTTTTCCCACCCCCACCCTGCCTCTTCCCACCCTGTTCTGCCCCCTCCCCCGAGTGCGCTGCGTTCTCGCTCCTCCAACCTCCCCCTCCCCCCTGAGCCTCCTGTATGCCGCGAAACAGCTGATCGCGACGGGCGGGAGGCGCGGGGAGGGAAGGGAAGGCGCTGATCGGCAGGGCCTGCCGGCGGGCAGAAGATGCTGGGGGGAGGGGGGAATGCTGATAGGGGCCTGACGATTTTTACCCAGCCCCGGAGCACCCACAGAGTCGGCGCCTATGCTCATCAGTAACACAGGGAAACCCTCTTTCTCCTCAACATACCCCTCTGCTCCCCAGAAGCCCCTTCCTGGTACTTCCATGGGCATTCCTGATACCCGGGTGCCCAGCATGGTATTGGTACCAGTTGCTGTCACCGTCTTGCCCAGCCCAGCTCCTGCCTATGCCTGTATCTTAGCTGCTTGCGACTCACCTCTGTGGGGGTGAAAGGTCAGCAAGGAGGCTGCTGGCCTCCGTAGGATGGATGGATGCACCAGGGATAACGTCATGGGCCTGACCCTGTCCTTGCCCATTGATGTCTTCTCTGCGCCCAGGTGACTGCCATGTGCAGACACTAATTCCATGCAAAGTGCTTTGTGAGCAGGGCCAGCGCTGGGGCTTTTATTACAATGAACAAAATCACAGCCGTGTCTGATTGTTTCCAAGTGGGGACCCGCGGCTGACATAATCCAGTTTGCGTAAAGGGCCATTCCTAGCTCTCCCGTTTTCAGAGGAAAATGCTGGGGGATCCTAAGGTGCATGAAGGCTGAGACTGGATGCATAGTGTGGAGAGGGTGTGATATGCAAGGTGTTCATCAGAGCAACCTGGGTTCTGCCTCACCCAATGGGCCCCACCGATATTTAATAGTCTCCATCTCTGCATCTGTTCTGCAGGTTTTCGGCTGAATGCCTCCTCTTGGCCCATGTTCCTCCTGAAAACTCTGAATGGAGCAGAGATGGCTCCTCTCCGGATTTTTCACAAGGTATCGTATTGCGTGCAAAGGCTCCCCTTGGCACAGGACACCCAGGCCAGCTCTCTGGTGTGTAGTGCAGTTAGACGCCTGCGGTTGGCCCGTGCCAGCTGACTCCGGCTCACGGGGCTCGGGCTAAGGGGCTGTTTAATTGTGGTGTAGACATTCTGGCTCGGGCTGGACCCCGAGCTCTGGGACCCTGTGAGGTAGTGCTCCAGTTTGGCCAATGAAGAAGAGTCCCAGTGAAACCTGGTGAATCAGAGCTGCCTGAGTGGGAGTCGGGGGCGGGTGAGAGCTACCAGGGGACCATGGAAGGTTCCAGAAGGAAGCAGAAAGTTGTCCCTGGGAGAAGGCTGAAGACAAGGAGAGCAGCAAGAGAGGTTTGCTAGCTGGCGTGCCCAAACCAGAGAGCTGAAGGCAGTGGGAGGTGCCTGTGATTTGAAGCTGGAGAGGGCCAAAGGCGGGAGAGCAGTGGAGGACTTACCCGCTGACGTCTCCATGAGAGAGAGGTGGGCCCAGAGGAGCCTTGAGAGGGCCGAGCAGTGAGGGATGCTCCCAGCAGAGAGACTGGGGGGGTTCGCCCTGGGAAGAGCAGGGTTACACTCCAGTGGGAAGGCCTGGGGTGGCTGTGCTGGCGGAGGGACAGAAGAGGGCTGAGCAGGAGCTTAGGTGTGACCGAAGATACCAGTGTGCGGTGTGAAAGCAGAGAGGTAGACGGTGCCCACTGGGAAAAGTGGGGTTTTAAGGGCTATATACACTGGGTGTGGGAATTGTACTATGGTTGGGATTTTGTGGGGATTCAGAGAACTGTGTTTGGGAATAAAGCCGCTCCAAGGAAGGATGGTGTTTAAGCAAGAGAGCCTGAAGTGGATTTACTGGGAACTCTGAAAGCGGGGCTGCCTGTGACACTTTCTCGCATCAGTGTGCCACTGAGGAGCTGTCACAGGGTAGCTCCATTCTGTCACCCGGTTTGTCTGGTCCTGAGTGTAGCAGGCACAGGGTGCCATAACTAGAGGCCTTGCCTAGAGGTGCACATTTTAAACCAGTCCTGGTATAAACTGGAGCCACTTCCTTTACCCTCTGACATGGAGCTGAATTGGTTCTGGCTCCATCTAGCCCTGCTCTTGTGATGATGTAGGGAGGGGATTAATCCAAGCCCAGGAGACACTGACACACACTACCTCTTTTGTAACCACCTTTCTGAACCCTCCCCTGTAGGAGCCACCGTCTCCATCCCAAAACTTCTTCAAGACGGGCATGAAGCTGGAGGCAGTGGACAGGAAGAACCCACACTTCATCTGCCCAGCCACCATTGGGGAGGTGAGAGGCTCCGAGGTCCTCGTGACGTTCGATGGCTGGAGAGGTGCATTCGATTACTGGTGCCGCTATGACTCCAGGGACATCTTTCCTGTCGGCTGGTGCTCACTGACAGGAGACAACCTGCAGCCCCCTGGGACGAAAGGTAAGGGCCACATCCCATCTCAGCTTCCTTGTCTGCTCAGCCCCTGCAAAGCACAACAAAGCAGACAGGGACTGGCAACTATGAGTCCTGTGTTCTGTTCCTGGCTCTGCTACAGACCTGCTGTGTCCCCTTGGGTAAATCCCTGCCCTTCCCGTGCCTCGGTTTCCCTACAATATGGGAGATGATATTTGCTCAGCTCCTGGGGCTGGTTTGAAATCCTTGATGGAGGGTGCAGAGGAGTTTTGCGTTTTTCCCTGAGCAGGAGATTTAGTAATCACTATTAACAGTAACAATATAGTGGAGGCTGGAGAGACTCTGAAAGCAGGTTTGTAAGTCCCAGCTATTCCTGAGGAGGGAAGGACCAGGTTGTGATGCTTAGTGAGATTACTCAGCTCTTCACCCCTCCTGAGATCCCTCAGAACCTGTCCTGCCTCTTCAGAAAACACAGGGTCCCTGGTGCCTTCCATCCAAACTGGTAGTCCTGGGACTGCTGGGAATATAGCAGGGGGATTAGGGTCACATGGGGTCAGGGAGCTGGGGAGCCAGGACCGTCCTAACTGAAAGGACTCTGCTCCCTACAGGAAAGGTGAGGAGGCGAGGGAGAGGCCCATCCTGGGGCAGTAGTACAGTGGCTGCTGTTCATGCTTTTGGCAGAGTTGTTTTGCTTTCCCTTAGGTTGTGCTGTCCACTGGGGACCTGGAAAAGGCAGGTCGTGCTGAGATGAGAAGCTGTGTCTGCTTCTCCTCCCCGCCCCCAGCAGCCTTGTCTGCTGTGGGTTCGGTGGCTGTGACCCTCCGGCCTTGAGGGTGCCCCAGTGTCTGGAAGCTACATGGGGGCTGTTGAGGTGCTCTAACACCTGTTGCCTCCCTGTAGCTGGAACTGCCCTAAAGGACATTAGGGCTGCCACTTTCCCCAGCCGTGGCCATTTGGCAGTAACGTGCTGGCTGGCAGGTTCAGCAGGGGAGTATAAAGCATAAACCTTCAGTGCAAGGCAGCAGCTAAATCAGTAGGTTGTTCCTTTAGCTCCACCCTCCCCATCGTCTGTGACCTTTGAAGCCAAGGATCTGGCTTTGATGGAAGCCTTCCCTGTTCTTAGTGCCACACAGCTAGGCGGTCCTCCCGGAGACTGATGAGCGGAGATCTCCTCCACTTTGCCTATGAATAAACCCAGATGTGAGCTCCCCTTGGATTAGGAAGATGCATCCGGCTGATGGAAGCTGAAAGGCACTCTTTGTTTATCTTGGATCTCTGCCTCCAGTAGTTAACCGTTGTGCTCCCAGCCTCCCCCACTCCCTGCTGTTTGTTTGTGTTTTCCCTACGCTGTCATCTTACACTCTTTACAACCAGTGCTCAAGCTGCCCAGCAGGAGGTGCTCTTGAGCCAATATGATTTACCCAGCTCCTTTGAGATCTGAGCTCCAGCCAGGTTCACAGCACTTCTCTGGTACACGCAAATGGCTGACATCCTTGTAGGTTTTGGCTGGAGGCTTCTGGTCCTTGAAGATAACCTAGGGGGCTTTGAGGATGATTTCAGCACAGTGGGAACTGATTGTATGAGAACTTCTTATCTGTTCAGCCTGGGAAGCTGGGTGCTCCTTCAGACCTATCTGTGCTCAGGGCTGGGGAGGAAGTGGAGGGGCATTCAGAAATGATACCTGTCTAGGGGAACAGTACTGTATCATTGGGAAGCATTTGCCTACCTCAGTTAGCAGGTAGCTGTTACAAGCTTTCCCTCTTACATTGGCCTCAGCCAGGTGGTAGGCGTGGGAAATCATAACGAAGAGCTCCCATAGAACCAGGAGAAGGATGCTTCTGGATGTGATATGCAGACAGTGGTCACTCCTGTCCTGCCTGTACGGGGGGGAAGAGCCTCATTCGTGGCAATTGAAAGGAAATTTCCTTGGCTGGTAACATTTCCCCAGGAAAGTTCAGCTCAGAATCTTCTTGTCACAAGGTTTTCCTCCCCCCCCCCCCCCCCCCGGCACCGCCCCCCCTCCGTGGTTTTATCCTGAGGAAGAGAAGTGCTGAGGATCCTTTCTTTCCTTCTGTCATTAAAACTCTCACCCCATCTGTTCATTCCTAACAGCTGCCTTCCCTTTGGACAAGAAGGGGTAACACAGCTCCCTCCAGAGCCTGTGAATTGCTGCTCCTAAGGGAGTTGAGGGGGAAGGTTCACCTCAGACAAACTCCAGGCAAACAGTCTGCGTTTTAATATGGCTACATGTTAAAGGTTACAGGTCTACCTCTAGGAACAAAGAGTGCAGGCCCAACTTACGGGAGAATTGGCTCTATCCTGGGAGACAGGGATTTGGGGGTTGTGGTGGATAATAAGCTGAACGTGAGTTCCCAACGTGATGCTGTGGCCAAAAGAGTTAAGGCAATCCTGGGATGCATAAGTGGAAATCTCGAGTAGGAGTACAGAGGTTATTTTACCTCTATATTTGGGGCTCGTGCAACCGCTGCTGGAATCCTGTGTCCAGTTCTGGTGCCCACAATTCAAGAAGGATGTTGATGAATTGGAGAAGGTTCAGAGAAGAGTAATGAGAATGATTCAAGGATTAGAAAACCTGCCTTATAGTGATAGACTGAAGGAGCTCAATCTCTTTAGCTTAACAAAGAGAAGATTAAGGAGTGACTTGATCAGTCTCTAAGTATCATAGACCCATAGGGTTAGAAGGGACTGCAAGGGTCATCTAGTCTAACCCCCTGCCAAGGTGCAAGATTTGTTGAGTCTAAACCATCCAAGACAGATGGCTCCAGCCTCCTTTTGAAAACCTCGAATGAAGGAGCTTCCATAACCTCCCTAGGCAGTCTGTTCCGTTGTCCTACTCTTCTTACAGTTAGGAAGTTTATCCTGAGATTTAATCTAAATCTGCTTTGCTGTAGTTTGAATCCATTGCCTCTTGTCCTGCCCTCTGTGGCAAGAGAGAACAACTTTTCTTCCTCTTTTTTTATGACTACTTTTCAAGTATTTTAAGATTGCTGTTATGTCCCCCCTCAATCTCCTCTTTTCCTAACTAAATATACCCAGTTCTTCTTCGAGTATCAGGGGGTAGCCGTGTTAGTCTGTATCTACAAAAACAACAAGGAGTCTGGTGGCACCTTAAAGACTAACAGATTTATTTGGGCATAAGCTTTCGTGGGTAAAAACCTCACTTCTTCGGATGCAACCGAAGGCATCCGAAGAAGTGAGGTTTTTACCCACGAAAGCTTATGCCCACATAAATCTGTTAGTCTTTAAGGTGCCACCAGACTCCTAGTTCTTCTTCGAGTGATTGCTCATGTGTATTCCACAGTAGGTGTGCGTGCTCACCACGTGCACCGGTGCCGGAAGTTTTTCCCTTAGCAGTTCCCGTAGTGGGGGAGCCCCGCTGCGACCCCGGAGTGGCGCCTCTATATCGCACCATAAAGGGGGCTGCGTGCTCCCCCCACCCTCAGTTCCTTCTTGCCGCCAGTGAAGGTAGTCAGAACTTGTGCTCCAGCATTGCTGTAGCTTCTATCCTTGGTAGTACGATCCTCGACTGTTACTAGTTCTGCAGTTAGTAGCCTGGCCCGGGGCATGCCCCGAGCCCCAGGCTTCAAGTCGTGTGACTCCTGTCGCAATTCCATGCTCAGAAGCAATCCACACTCTGAGTGTCTTCGCTGTCTGGGCGAGGCTCACGTAAGTGAGCGGTGTAAAATTTGTAAGTCCTTTAAACCCAGGACTAAACGCGAACGCGAGATCCGACTCCGGGCCCTGCTTATGGAGTCGGCATTGGCCCCGGCACCGGCGCGCCGACCCAGCCCGGCGCTGGGCATCGCGTCCTCAATGCGGAGCGAAGCCCCATCCACCAGTCGGCACCGCTCCCCTGCCAAGAAGCAAGGCAAGATCCAGCGGCACCGAGACAAGGACAGGGGTCAGGCTGGACCCGAGTTGGCCAGCCCACGATCCCCCTTGGGACCCAGACCTCCGACTCGTGCGGAGCGGAGTAGTCCAGCCCTGTCCGCGCGTGCCTCCCCAACGATAAGGGTTCCATCGACGCCGGAGGCAGCCCAGGCAGCGCGCTACATCCTCGTCATGCCGGTATCGAGCGGGCCGCCCGAGCTGGGGCCCCGGTCCCGAGGGAAGCCACCGTTGGGCGCTCACCAGCCCTCACCGGCCAGGTCGGCGGTTGACTTCTCTGCTCGATCTGCCGGGTCTTCCCGTAGCCCACGACAGACCTCCACTCCGTTGTCGGGCTCGCCTGGGAGCGAGTCGCCGGAGTCTTTCTCGACCCAAAGGGGCCGCAGGGGCTGGGACAGGAAGTGTCAACGCTCCTCGTCCAGCCACAGCGATAGCAGGTCTCAATGCCATTGGCACCGCCGATTATACCGCGACGCGCGCCACGCTCAGAGTGCATCCCGGCAGTCACCAGCACCGTGGCTTCGTAGCCGCGGTCACTGACGGGACTCCAGGGGTACTACCTCCGACGTCTACTTCTCATCGTCGTCGAGGTCTACGTCCTGGGGCAGGATCTGACGTGGACGGCACCGGTCGAGCCGTTCCTACGGCACCATACGCTCCTCAGCCACCTCTGTCTCTGCTCCCAGCCGTCCTTCCCCGGGCCGCACCGTTCCCCAGGAACAGGTAACCCTGGTAGGACCCCAGGCGGCTCAATGGCAAGGGGCGCCATGGCAAGGACAGTGGTGCCAGTGGGCACTGTGGCCCAGGCACCTGCACTGCCGAGGCCCCGCTCTGTGGCTGGGGCAACCCAAGCACCCTCGTTGTCCCCGCCTCGGCACCGAGAGCAGTCCTCGGGTGCCGCACCACTGGCACCGCACCCAGACCCGGACGCGGAGTGCGACCTGCCGGCACCGCCTGATGCCCTAAGGGCCGTCCCAGTCGTCCCGTTGGCACTGGACGAGTCCATAGCGGCACTGCTCCCTCCTTCTCAGGAGGATTTCAAGGCACATCAGGAGCTCCTCCGGCGTGTAGCCGCCAACCTCCAGCTGCAGGCGGAGGAGATGGAGGAGCCATCGGAC